AGAAACAAAGTGATCCATCCCCCGACTCGTGCGATTTCGAGATCTGGCTTTCGACTTGTTACCAACAAGTAGTAGAGTAGTAGTAGTAGTAGTAGTAGTAGTAGTAGTAGCAGCAGTGCAAGTTCACCGAGGGTAAACAGTGACAGTGTGTATCGTTATCGTCTCGCTAGGCTTTCGATTTCCGATCGCGCAGAACGTGTGACCGCGTAAGGAGTTCTCGCGGTTCCTCGGTATAGGCGGCGCGATAGAACAGAACGTTTGCGAACAGGCGGACAGCACCTCGCGACGAGGTGCTCGCGATCAAACTGGAGTACACGGAGGAAACGAACATGATGGACTCGGTGCCGCCGCCGGTTTCGTCGGGGTCGAAGACCGGGTTGCAACCACAGCAGGGGGTACCGTACGACCTTGAGAGCGGCTTCGAACCACAGACGAGAGCACGGTCGCACACGTGGCCGCTGCCAAGACCGGAGGAATACATCGAGGGAAACGTGGTGCCGAGCGTATCGGCTAGCAAAGAGGGCGTCGAAGGCGTCGAAAGTGGCACGCCGCCTCAGCATGGCTCTCTCGGCCAAGGTACCGGCTTGCTTCCGGTCAAGAAGAATTCCTCCCGGCGGAACGCCTGGGGAAATCACAGTTATGCCGATCTCATTACTCAGGCCATTACCAGCGCCCCCGACGAACGGTTGACTCTCTCGCAGATCTACGAGTGGATGATGCAGAATATCCCGTACTTCAGGGAAAAAGGAGAGAGCAACAGCAGCGCTGGTTGGAAGGTTAGTGTCACCACTTACAATTATAGTCTGTCTCGCTCTCTCGGAAAAGTCAACTCCGCAATCGCTCGTCTACGATTACTCCGTAAATTGAGAAAAATGAATTGCTTTTGAACGTGATCGTGGAGAACACGTCTTTCCGTTGTTTGTATCGTTTACTTGCGATAAATGAAACTTACAGTACTTGGCTATTAATGGCGCGCTTGTGAAATAAAATGGCGCGTCAATGAACATGTACTATAACTGTAAGTCAGTAAAAAAAGTCTTGTTGGAAATTCAAGTGTACGGAAACTTATAGAATATAGTTTACGAAGTAATGCGAGATTTCACGGTATTAGCTGGTTGTGTAAATGTGGTAACTTTTGGTTTTTGGTTTTGGTTTGTCCCGTGTTTTTTAATACGTTTGATACTAATAAAATCTTCCATCGCAGGAAGCTACTATCTTTCGTGGTTCATATAACGCGTTCTTTTCGCCGTTTTCGCGTTCCCGCGTTCATCTTACGTAATAGCCATGCGCGTTTGTTAGGACGCATCTCGTACCGAACGGAACTTCGCATTTAAACGGACAAACGGCGAGTTCTTAACTTTCTGGTCTATCGGTCGATAGAAAACTGAAGAATGCATCTGACAGTTTTCATGTTTCAAGTGAAATATTTGTTGTTACGTTAGTCGACATTTTTGCGCGAATTCCAAGCAAAATCCGAGCAAAATTTTGGCTAAATTTGAAAATTGCAAAATTTACGAAATAGATCTTTTAGACGAGAAAGCTACCAATTTCGAGCTTATTTCAATTAATTAACTAAACATGAAAGTTGTATCTTTCATCAGTCTATCAGACTGTAAATGATACAGATTTAAACAAAAATGTCCGCAACTCGAGTCGATTAAAAGTCTGTAAAAAAAATCACCGTGGATTGGATTTCAAAGCTGCGATCGGTAACAGGAAGTTAATCGCTTCTCCGCGCACAATCGAATGATATAAAGTTTCCTGTAAATAATTAAAGAAGCAACTATTTTTTACGGCCATATAGCCCGTGATTTTTTTTGTTTTTCCCCCGTTTTATTGGACGACTTCATTGCGTTGATTCGCATGATGGTATACGCGATTCTAACGAGACTCGACGACTCATGTTCTCTCGTCACTGCCGAAACGTTGACCGTGAATACGCGTGACAGAGAGAAGAGGGGAAGAGAAAAAGAGAGAGGAAGAAAGAGAAAGGCGCCAGCCAGGCGTTTTAGATTTTTTCAGTGTGGATATACACTGTCGTCCAAAAGTATAATGGACGTTTTCTTATTTTTTGATAACAAATCGCACAATGTATCGTAATAACATCGTATAATGGTTTGGAGAAACCATTTTGGTTCTTTCGCGTGGAAGAATAAAAGAATTACTCACTACTAGCTCAGTAATTAGAAATGTCCACGATTTTTTTACCAAATACCGTAAAATTCAGGAAAATTGTAAAACAAATGCATTATTGCTGAATCTCTTAACGTAGCAATTGTCGGGGAAACCGCCACGTTACAAAACGTACACACTCGTGAACGATAGTGTGTACGGTACAATGCAACGAATAAAGAATATTCGTGGTATGTAAAAAAAGAAAGAGGAAAAAGGAAGGAAAAGAAAAAAAAAGAAGGAACGACAGAACGCAGAAAACAGGTTCTCCGCGTTGAACTTCTGTCCGCGTGATTTTCATACGCGTTCTCGGTTTTTTCCGATTGCGGACGTTTATTTTCTCGATCGAGAGTTGCCGTGCGCCGCTGCGTAAAAAAGATTTTTTCGTCCCTCCGGTTTCTTTTCTACGCGTGGCCGTTCGCCGTTCGCGCGGAAAACGGTCTCCTCCGGCCTTCTGAAACCGGCAGGAATTTCACGCGGCCGCTTTCTCGGCCGTCGTTCTCGGTGAATCGAAATTCCCCGCCCGAGAATTCAGCCGGGGAATAATGAATAAATAAAAATCGTGACGGCGAGATCTTGATGTTGGAAGTTGGCCGGCCGCCTCGCGCGCTCTTTCCACGCGCGTATATTAGCCGGTCTCGGCCGCGGTCTGATTTCTAACGACGCGCGTGCAACACACACACACACACACAATCTCCGTGCATCGGAATTTAAAAAAAGCATGCTATCGATCTGCCGCGCGGTTTAACAGTTGGCGAAGTTAACTTTTCCCGCGTTCGTACTTCTCCCTCAAAGCGGACCACTTTTGCGAGTTGTTCTGAAATCGAGGGAAATAAATACCGGCTTGCCGGTAAACAGCGACGCCTCGTCCACGAGGTTATGCCTCGTCGCGATTTCCATCGGATGATATTTTAGCTGAACGTGTGAATACGGACTACACGAGTCACACGCCACGCCTTGCACTACATGATTTCGCATCGAAGTGGTCAGCAATAATCGCATCTCGTATATTATACGGGGCATCTGTAATTTTTGATACGGACGCTACGTTGTGAATTAAATTGGAGCACCGTTTGAAACAGGTTTCGAATAAGTTGCGAGCGAAAAGTGTTGGCGCAACAGCGATATTTGCGAATACTCGTAATTTCAAATAATGCTGAAAGTTAGTTTATGACTTGAAAAAAATGAGAAGATATCGTGCATCTTCGCGATAGCGTTATCTGAATTAATGAGTCGTTGTTGTAAAGAGTTGAGTTTCGTTAGGCGGGATAATTTTTAGAAACGGAGCAATATACGCGAGCTATTGAATCGTGATAGTTACGATACACGTTAATCGAACAAACTTTCCTTTTTTGCCGAGTAAAAGCCGTATCGCCGTAGAATTCTACGACCGGCGAGCCATCAATGCAAGTACACGATGTATATTTCGCTAATAACAAGTTAAACAGTTTGTTTTCGAGCATTAGATTGCTGAAAATTGCTCGCGATTGAATTTGTTAAGTTACAAATTACCCAGCTCGATTCGAATATCCTTGCCACTCGAACGATTCTTATTCTAATCGAAACACGCGAGATTAGACGAGATTAAGATTATCTTATGCGTACGGAAAAATCTAGTTCACACGTGACCGAGATTATTTTAGATTTACGCGTACGAAAAAGTCGCTGCACAATTTTCACGCAATTGACAAAAACATCTCTCTTTGTAATTCACTTTTATCAGATAACTAATAATTCACGGACATGCAAAAACAAAAAAAAAAAAAGATCATTCGCATCGTCCACCATAAAACAGTTCCAACGACAAGCACATGAGAAAGCACAATCGGGTGCAAGAATCTCACGGGATAAATTTCCAAAAGATTTATTAATATAGCCCCGGCGAGATATAAATGTCAATATATGCTGGACGTTTTCTCGGGCGGACTGTAAAGCGAGACGAGAAGGGCGATCGGTAAAAACGTCGGGTCCGGAGGTTCAGAAGGTAGCCATGTAGCGCCGAGAGAGTCCGGTTGCGAAAAATCCGTTTAGTGCAGCTGCAAAGTTCACATGCAAGGCGCGAAACCAGCGTGCAATCACGTGGTGTCTGTGTATAAATATCTGTATCTCCGGCGTCGTGTGTTTTCTACTCGCGGGGCCGGTCGCGTGTACGAGTAAGAGTATAAATAAACGAGGATAGTCGGCATTATCTGCGACGTGCATAACTATTGTGTATTATGGCCGTGGTTCTGAGATTGAGGCTTAACGTCTCAATGTTTACTGCTTCGTCGCGTCATTTAAGTACTTTGTTCTGCGAGTCAAGGCAAACTCTAGCTACTTCTGCTCCCAATAAATTTCTGCTACGGAATGAAAGATCCTATTACCGATTAGCGGACTGCCGATTTTTACATGCAATACACGGGAAGGGGGGAGTTTGAGAGATGCAAAAATCGCAGAAAATATATGCAACGTGAAAGTATTCTTTTTTTTTTTTTTTTTTTTTTAAGCATTAGAAATAAATTTCTGCTCAGATTACACACACACACACACACACACACACTTCTTTCAGTATTCACGATTCGTAAAATTCAAGATTGCACAAAGATTAGACACCGGTAGATTAGAATCATTATTTTGTTGGAATTGCGCAGAAGAATTTTTTTTGTACAATACGTCAAAGCACGACGTGACATACTTTCAACAGATACACTGGTATCACGGTTGCTTATCCGTACGCGTGCGAATGCATCCTTCAGTGGCGTTTACACAATATCTACGTTTTAAACCGAGGGACATGGTCCAACATCGTCACTGGCACTGGTTCCCCATTAATTATTCACGTGTACACACGGACACTGGTATATCCAGATTTAAGTTTTAATCATCGTGCTCCACGAAACCAGCAGAAAATTCCTCTGAAATTTCCATCCTTTTACCGATTCCTCCGCCCCAACGTTGTATCTCATTAAGCTTCCCGGTGAATTTCGTCGAAAATCGTGGTGATTTCATTGCTCAGGCTTGCACGCTCCGATTGAAAATTTTGATTGAAAATTCAACCTTGGAGCTGGAAAGCAGTCAAGGATATCCAGAAAGAATGCCGGCACCGGTCGGATATTACTGAAACAGGAAAGCGACGGAAAGGTCTCTCCTCTCCTCTCTTCTCGGTGTTCGAAACGTGGAAAGCCCTTAAGCAATATCGGCGCCATGGGTTCAGACTGATT